AACCTAATAATAATCCGTCCAAAAAACCAAAACAATAATAAATTGGTCATTTTCAATCCACGACTGCTTGTGGGACATTGCTGTGCGCAATTGGCTGCTGCGTTCGCCCACAAATATACAGTCAATTCACTTTACAGTATATTCTGTGAAGCGCTTTGGGACGTCTAGAAGACGTGAAAAGCACTATATCAAATGCAAGGATTATTATTATTATTATTATTATAAGGTTCCACTGAAACCTTGGGCTCCATCATACACTGATTGCTAAAAGCAGTGACGTTTTTGCTCCATGTTTACAAAGGGATTGTCTTTGAGGTGAATACTGTACACGGTGCTGAGCTTAACGCTATTACTACTTCTGTCTCTTAACTCCCTTCAGGGTAATGTGGAAAATGAAACCTAACTCCCCTGGATAAGTCTTCATTTGCAGTCAACATTAATAATTTGGGCCTGGTTTAAGTGCTACATTTGTTGGACTCACATTTTTAAAGGTGGAAAATTAGGTGTTAATAGTATTTTAATACTAACTCCAGATTTTCTGTTACAGTTCACATCCAAAAAAAAAGTGCTAGCTTTAGCACCAGCTGGAATATTTTGCCTAAAAGGCTGTTGGAACAAAATGGAGCTGAACAAATTAATTTGCAACACACATTATGATAAAACCCAATTTGACACAATTTATTTTAGGCAGAGGAAACTTTACAACTGCTCAATGGTACATCTGCAAAAGCACAACAAGTGGAAAATTAGCCATTTGCTCGCACTGACCTTTCTCAGCTTGGTAACCAAAAAATGAATGTGATCAAAAGATCTTATGTTTCATGTTGAGCTAAGTCCACAAAATAAGAGGTCTGTTTGCAAGACGATTTGTTCTTTCATTTGTTTCAGTGTGAATGCCTAGAACAATCTAATTTTAAAATGTGAATCAATTTAAGAAACCAGTTTAATCGGGATTTGAGATTATTAATAGAATGATTCATTTTCAAGAGAAACAAAATGCAGAAAAATTATTTGAAATTTTGAATGAAATTTTGGACCTCAAAAATATTATTTGAATGAAGCAGCAGAACAAAGGTTATCCCTGTGATATACTGTATTCCAAACTATATTATCTATCTTATGCTGATCAGAGGGAAAAATCACAAGCATTATCTCTGAGCCTTTACATTGTACAAGACTCATGCTAGTGATAATGTAAAATATCTTAATGAAAGTAAGTTACAAACAAATGTTTCGCAAATATATATTAACTCAAGAGATTAAAAATAGATAAATAGATGGCTGTCAGCAGCATTTTCATTTTCTTGTGGCCTCAATGTGCAACTAACTTAGAACGAATGTTGAGTTTTAGGAACATCCGTAGCCTGCAGATTGATTTAAGATAGCTGCCACTTGTAATTAAATCAATAAAATGTTAATAATGTACCCGTTCACCTTTAGTAACACTTGTTTGGATGCCGTATCTTTACAGGGTTTCAAGAGGTTAGTTACTTTATTGACACGGTAAGAACTGCAACACATTTATACCTGTCCTCTCACAGCACACAGAGAGCATGGAAGGTTTAGATTGGCATCCAACAGCAATTTACAACGACAATTTGCATTTATATAGCGATCCTCACATAGGGTAGCATCCCAGAGTAATGACTGCCCCAAGATCTTCGTGCTCAGTACGTCAATAAAAGCCAATTGTAAAATTTAGGGGTATGTTTGTTTGCCCTGAGGAATTTAACTGGATGCACGGATCGAGGAACAGCCAAAAGAAAATCCCTGAACAGTTCACTAGGCTCATGCTGCCCGTGGTTATGATCTGCTTGGAATGTGGTATTTTCCATGGATCCTATGACCGTACTACAACACATGGTGCTGACATGAAGGCCACATGATGCACTCATAGATAAAAATAACTTCCAGAAATCTTTGGCCTCATAAAATCTTGGATCTTCAAGAATTTTCCAACATTCAGAATATAAATGTCAATCTTGATCATAATTATAAGGTGCAAGGCGATACTGATTTTAAAAAAAAGTAAGATATTCTCTTTTGATTGATGTCAACAATAACAATTGCATTACTATAGCGACCTTCATGTAGGATAACTCCTTAGAGCGCTAGTTCTCAGAAGGTGCGTCTCAGAACACTATTCCTCGTATAACATACTAGGAAATGCCACTATGATAATATGCGAAAACGCTAGCCACGATAGAGTATAATGCAGAATATAGCAAGTATGTACTCTCATTTGTGCCAATTTTTGAGTTTATTTAAACAAAATTGAAGCTACCGCTGGTCTCCAGTTTTTCTGAAGGTAATTTTGAGGTTTCTACATGATCTGGGGGATAGTTAGCCATGTGCCTGTGTGCAGAAACCCCTCCCCCTTCTTATCTATAAACAGTTTCAGTCCAATTTTCCACTCTCAGGAGCAACCTTGTGAGTCTAAAAATAATTATGTTATGTTATATATAGAATAATAGATGGTCAGGGGTGCATTGCGTTATTCTGTATATGGTTCTGTTGCATTTCAGAATTCAGCACTATCCTGCATATAGCTTATTAAATCATCACACATAAACTTGTAAGATAATGCAGTGGATGCACTTTATTTAATTAACTATAATTTTAATGAAAATTAGAGTAACATAAGGCAGAATCTTATAATAACCGAACTTTATAGAGGATTACATTGGTGAGTAAACAGGGACAATGTTTATCGTTTTGCGAATGGCTGAGGAATGCCACAGAGGTTTGTACATCAGTTCAGCCACCAGCTGGTAATGACTGGCTCTGTGCTAGGGAGCAGTCAAGCTGAGACAAGATGGTATCTATTCCCCTCTTCACCGTAGAAGTGAAGTAAAATCAGCTAATGTGTCATTCTCACTCACTTCCTATTGGACTCATACACAGAGGTTTTGAGACACAGGAGCTCTATCTGTCCTACTTGTTATATGGCATACGAAACTGAAGTAATAATTCAGGAAAGAAGAAAATTAGGCAGCGAAAATAACAATAAATAGATGAAAAAATATTGGATCTATTAAACTGATCTTGAATGAAAACAGTTGATGTTTTTGTTTGGGAGGATATAGAGGTCGGTGCAGAATCTGAGCTGAGGTAACGTTTATCATGTGGATTCATGCCCACTAGGGATTGGGTTGAGGATAAAATTCTCATCAATTAGGCGTAAACAGCTGGTAGGGAAGAGACTTTTATTCCATTAGTCTATGTTGAATTGCTGCCCAGATTCCAGAGGAAAAAGGACACTATGCTGATGCACGGTGCTACAGTTGTAGTTTTGATTTTGGGTTATTTGCTGTGCAATCACCATATAGATCAACACATTGGCTGAGAAACAAAATGGAAATGAGCTCGTGTTCCTCAAATGGGATTTCTGTGATTTGCTGAGCAACCAAGTAGTTTACAATTTAATTAAGACTTAATGTATCCAATTATTTAAATAATCATTTGGCATAGCAGTATTAGATACCACAAGGGAGCTACTTTTTCTTTATTCCCAAAAGAACAAGGTCAGGGTGTTCCACTAACTCAAAGAAAATTACGTCTGTTTTACAGCCAACAAGTCCTGGGTTCAAGATTTTAATCTGATCCCTTTTGTCAAATGATGTTTGTCAGTTTATTCCCTTTTACAGGTTTCAACAGAGGAGGAACTACACACCCCACTTCTTGAATTGCCAATGGGCATTAGATTGAAAGAAAGAAAAATAACTTGCATTTTTCAACACCTTAATCACATGAAACCACCTCAAAGTGCTGAACAAATAAGTACTATTCAGTGTAGGGATTGTGTTTGCAGACTAATGTAGTTGCCATTTTGCTCCGGCAAGATCCCACAAGCAGGTACAAGTGAATAATTGTTACAATTTGATATAATGCCTTATCATATCATGCAAATGTCTCAAAGCTGTAAAGGAATTTACTGTAAAGTGTAATGATTGTGTATTTGTAGCCGGATGCAGCAGACAAATTGCACAACAATCTGGGGGATTGTACGCCAGGACGCTGAGAGACACTCCCTTCTCTTTTCGAAAAGCGCCATCTTATCTTTAATGTCCGCCTAAACAGGAAGACAGACTCTTAAAGTTCCCTAAGTAATGGAAACATTTATTAGACTTACGTAAACTGACGGATGGTGGTTCAACAGCCACCAAAATGACCAATTTGTTCTTAAATGTTTCCCCCAAAACTGACCAGATGATCCTTCCAAATATTTCTCAGTTAAAATTAATAATTTGATCCCAGGCATTTTGATACTTTTCTTAAACAAACTGATTGTAAATTAAGTATTCCGCATTCTAGGATAATTCCAGACATAAACTGTCACTCTTGTGCAGCACTTTACTAAAGCAACTGCTATGTCACATGGCCACCCTTGACATTTAGCTAAATTTAGGGCAGAATCTCACATTTACCTTCTTGTCTATTCAGTAAAACTTCTCATCAGTGCAGGCACCTTGGAGTGAAGGACTTGAAACAGCTAAAGTTCAATAAAGGCTATAATAGAATTATTTTAAATATTCATCAAAAGCAAGCTTCAAACATTGGGCTTCACATCAACCAGCCGTTACTGAGAACTTCTCAGTGTACAGTATGTTGTGCCACAAGGGCTACAGTTTCCCTATCTTCTGAATAGGATTGGTTAATAGTTAACATTTTTAAAGTTGCAACGCACTTTCATTTATTTTAACAACTAGATTACGCATAATTCCCTGTATAATTTAGGTAGTTTGCTCTGTGTCCATGCTTAACACTGCTGAAGCTATGCAACAAGCTCGCCTACAAACACTAAGTTACTACGCCTTACAGTAAATCCTGTGAAGCGCTTTGAGATTTTTCGATTACATCATGACACTGTAATCAAATGCAATAATTATTATCAGTATAAATACAAACTCTTAACCCAGCAGCGCATGGTTCAAATGGCTGGCAGAGAACTTTGCACTCAAGCTCTTGAGAGCTTTTCAAATGGGGAATATTCTGCCAGAGCACCCAGTTGGAATTCTCTCTCCTTTAAACCTGCAGCAATCCTTTGCTTCCTAGAACATTCACTAAAGGGAAACAAATCTCACAACAAAAACCAAGCAGCAAGCAAGGGTTTGGGTATGTGTTCTCCAATTATCTGTTCCCACAGATGCAAATGTATATGAACTTACGGTGGGTAGGAAGAGAATTGCCTGCTGTTGGGAAATAGAGATTCACCTGGCATTAGCATGCCTTGTGCAAGCTTGTGTTGGTAACTACTTTGTCTGACAGCGTTCAATATTCCTCATACTGAAAAAATAATTTAACAATGTCCTTCAGTGGAAATGTATTTGATCGTACCTTGAAAACAGAACATGTGTTGTAGATAAAGCGGATGTAAAATTGGCCTCATTTGGGCTCAAACATTTCATGTCTGAACTATGACAATGAGTCAGAAGAGGATAAGAAGGGGAGGTAATCCTTTCCCCGGAGGTTAACCTTCAAGCTTCTCAGCAGGCACGATTCTCAGTTTAGTGCAATCCTTGTAAGAGTCAACTTCTTTGCGCTAAGCATAAAGGCCTTATCTTCATTTTATCTCTGTAAAATAGCTGATAGGATGGGTTCTAACTTAACACAAATATCTTGTCTACTTTTCCATTCTGGGACTATCTCCTGCTATTCATTTACTTTGTTTTAATGTTTCACTGCAGTAATTAACAGATCAGTTACAAAATACCTACTGTTTGGACACCTGTATCATTTGTAGAGGGTATGAATGGACAGTACTAAGTTACACTGTCCATTTGCACCGCCCTGTAACCAGGGAAAGCAGAGCTCTGCCTTGCAAACTGAAATGCATGCACGGAGCTCTGCTAATCAATTTCCCTTTTTAAATTAACAAATAACTGCCTAACATATTGTCTTCAGACTGACAAGTAATTGGATAGGAGTGAAGTCTTCATACCAGAGTCTATTGGATGTTTTGTAAGGTAAGTGAGCAGTGATTTTGATTTTGTCTTGTTTGGCATATACTGTATTGGCTAAGAAATCTTTTCAGGTGATTGAATTATCATTCGTGACCTCAGAATAGTTTCATACTTTTCAGTTAATATATTTTTAACTACTTAACAGTCACCGGCGTTATTAGCAGACAGGTGAGCCTATGATATCACTATAATTTAACAACGGAAGAGGTTAAAAACTGAATATAAAACTGAAACTGCACCTCAGCACTCAGGTGGCATCCAAAAAGTATTCAAGCCACATGGGTGTGATTTATGTCATTGAAGCTTGACACTAAATTACAGCCTCATTAATCACTCCCAACCATCCACAATTTCAAATGTGTTTTTAAAGGTAAAATCAACGTAGTATAATACTACGCAAAAGCACGGGTGAGTTTCAAGGTGATTCCAAAATCTGAATGGGACCAATTTGGATCCGGTTGTATTCTCTCTGAATTTGGCGACTTTGAACTCAATTTGAACTTCTGGGGTCCAAACAACTCCTGTTTTTAGGCTTAAAAAATTATTTAAATTTTTTTGCATTTGCAGAATTTCTTGGCCTGGAAGCTGGTTTTCTGCAACTCAAAATGAAGTTGGAGTAGTTGCAGCAAACCGATTTCAAATCGGCAAAGTAACTGAGTCATGGGTTTCCATATGGGTATTGGAACCCACCCCACTTCTATCTGTGGAACAACTGGCGGAATAACTTCGCAATGAGAAGCCTCCATTTTGGAATAAAAATATCATTTTAGTAGCTGAAAAGGTCAAATGGATTTTCAGAAACATTTGTCACATTATCTGCTTACCTCAGCTGAGCAGTATTGACTTCATTTAAAGTAAATGTTCCTTTACTTTATTACGGTTCATAACTGTAAGGCTTACAATATGTCGATTTGTTTCTGAATGTCACAACCAAAATTAGTAATTACAATTCAAGCCCTTGCTTCAGCTTTTGCTCTTGTGCATTAACCATGTGTCAAACCAAATAACTTGCAATTGTACACAAAGCAAAAATATCTCAAAGTGGTTGACGGATAAACAATGAGACTGAGCAGGGAAAATTGAGAATTTAAGGTTGTTGACCAAAGGCAAGGTTGAAGAGATATGTTTTAAAGAGGGTTGTAAACAAATTTTTTGCTTGCACAGAATCTGATTGATGTACCAGAGAGCTGGTCCACAGAATAGACTCATCACACAAGTGAAGTTACTGATCTCAGTAGGGATACAAGCAAGTGGCACAGAGTAGAAGAAAAGCACTTCCCCATAAAAAGTTCTACATTTTAAAATTGCATTTCTCCCTTTTCTTTCAGGTGTGCTCATGTTGATCATCAATCCCTGATTGACAGAACTAAGAACTGCCTAAGAACACCCAGGCCCAGAAGTTCACATTTTTAATTATGCAATTCAGTGACCAGGGACAGGAAATAGGAACGAAAATGTTGATGCCCGAATGAAAGATTTATCTCAGAAAAAATATAAAACAGGATGGTTCTACAGTTCCGGGAGGATTCTGTCAATCTTTTATGATAATAATAATAATCCTTGCATTTGATATAGCGCTTTTCATGTCTTCTAGACATCCCAAAGCGCTTCACAAAATATAATGTAAAGTGAATTGACTGTATATTTGTGGGCGAACGCGGCAGCCAATTGCGCACAGCAATGTCCCACAAACAGTCGTGGATTGAAAATGACCAATTTATTATTGTTTTTGGTTTTGGAGGGATTGTTATTAGGCTCTGTGTGGAGTAAGGAAACTTGCCCGAGGTTTCGCCCTCTGCCTGGAATTGAACTCAGGTCTCTCACTTGCAAAGCGAGTGCTCTAACCACTGAGCTACAGGACTCGCTGTTTTTAGGTCAATTTGGACCAATTTGTAGTTTCACCTGATCCAATCTGATTAATCTAGTTTAATCCAAAGGGAAGGAAGGATTACAGTCAGCTAAACCACAAATTCATTTGCCCTTAAAGTATCTTTTTTTAAAAAAACAAAGATCCGCATTGGAATAGAAGAGTTAAGTAAAAAAAATACTGGCTCACAAGTTCTCAGGTCAAACATCATTATAAGTAACTGCATCCTGTCCCCTACATCACCAGTTTTCCAGTGCTGCCAGCAGAATAGTAACCTTTATCGCCCTTACCAACTACTCAAGATAATAATTATTCATCTTTACATCCACCCTCAACCTCGTGTGTTCATTAATGTAAACTTGTACTTGATCCTTGAACACCTTCCTGGACACTTTTGTTTGTTACATTAGTTATTGAACAATAGAGAATTAAGAATGATCCACAAACTTCAAAAGAAAGCTGAAAAGGTATATAAATGTTTTCCCGACTCAAAGATGGAATCGATATCCAAGGTTTCATTTTCCCATCTAGAACCATGAGATTCAGGCTTTTTGCCAATTTCTTTGGTAGCAAAACGTTACTGATGCGCACACAATGATATTGCATTTTTTCTCCTTAATACAAATATATTTTATAGAATTTCTTCTGTACGTATAAAATAATAATCATGATTGAAGAAGTTAACCACAAAACGGTTGAACATTTTACTTCCAATTATTGCGCTTAATCCTGACTCAGATATGAAGGGTATACGGCTGAGGTTCTTCAGCACAAAGCGTAATGGCTCATATGACTACCCTGGTTATCGACTGTACTCTCACAAAAAGAAAAACATTTCCAAAGACTGCAAACTGAATAATTTTTGTTTGATCAATGATAAGATGCTTAATTTCAATTGCTGTTAGCATATTGAATGTAATCTCACTCCAGTACTGTTTTAATTAAAATGTGATTTAGTATTACTTCAACGTGTGACTCTTAATTACATTATCTTACCCATAACAAAATAAAATTACAAGCTTGTCAGAAATACTTGGAATATTCTTTTAATTTCAGCACAGCAAACTGGTTTTTCAAATTGAGGTGTTGAGAACCTCTGCCCACCACCTTTAATTTCTCCAATTTCCCCAGTGAGCGAATCATGCAACCATCTTTGAACAATAATTGTTTTTACCTGAAGGTTTTTGTTTCCATAACCAAAGCACCCAGTTTATTAACATTAAGAAGTTGGGAGTGTCAACCTGGACTATGGAGCATACATTCTGAAATATCTGACATCGGGAAAATTCCTTACACCCTCTCCTTTTTCATTTTAATATGTGAGTTCTATAAATATATCCGCTCATGTGCCACACTAGTAGTTTAAAAGAAGTACTTACAAAGAGCTATTAATGCAGTTCTGTTGGAGAAGTTAGAGAGTGTACTTTTAGGTAACAAATCAAGCAACATGCTCCGTGACAAAATATTCTTTTATACCATAGTTGTATTGCTGAGATAAATAGAATGGAAATGGACATTGTAAATGAAAATTTGCTTCAGTGGCAAAGCTGTGCCTGAATTATACTCAGTGGTACAAGGGTTAACTGTCTATACTGGCAATAAACAATTCCAACTTATGGTCCTCTAAATCAACTTGGGTTGTTGACAAGGAGGTTTGTATCTGAACAATATCAATGACTGATGCTGATCTCCTGTTCTTTGCCAAGGGACATGTATACTCAACACACGCATTGTGGTCAGTAATTTGAGATCACCTGTTGTAAGAACTGAATTTGGGAACTAGTAAAATAGGAACTCCAGGGATCATGTTCCTTTTTAGGATTGCCCTATTATGAACCAAATGTTATCACCATTGACATTGGTTGTACTGTATTATGAACGCATTGTATTTTATTCTTCTGGTAGCACTCTCTTGCTGCATTAAAATTCAAAGAAGCAATTCATTTTACAGGCAACTATTAACATAACATTGGAAATCAAACCTCTTCATCTTGGAAGGCCATTGAACACCACTGTTTTCCATTATTGAACAAGTCACAATTTTTTAAAAGTAGCCCTAACACATTTGTTTGTTTATTTCTGGACCAGACTTCTGGGCCCTGAAGGATTATTTCATGTTAAAACAAGAAACAAGATATTTCAAAGTCTTTTTTATAAATCCAGTACTAGATCCCCTTTTATTTCTCATGATATTTTCATATTTTTGGGACTATGTTCGGTGTGCTTTGCAGATTTCATCATTGCCTATTCCAAGATAACATCCACAGAATCACAAATATAAAATATACAGTCAATTCACTTTACAGTATATTCTGTGAAGCATTTTGAGACGTCTCAAAGACGTGATAAGGCGCTATATCAAATGCAAGGATTATTATTATTATTATCTGCCTGGGCAGCCATCATTTCAGTCTCATGGCAATAAAATGGTCGCAGTACAGCACACATTTTTGAAATTTTCTTATTAAATGGCTAATAATACAAAACATAATAATACATTTGTGCTTGAGAAACTTCACACTGGTACAGAGTCCAACTGCAAACAGAATAGAATAGGAAGCTCAGCACATGCTGAACCTGAAACAATGCAAGCTGTTTGGAAACTATCTTAAGGGTGGTTTGTGTGCTGTAACATCATCAATATTTGTCTTTCATTTTAACCATGTAGACCTGATCTCAGTCATGCAACAAGAACATGCGAAGACAAACTCTATTTGTCTTCGAGGAAGCAAAAACGCTATTTCTGATCCAGAACAAATTCTTAATTCAGTACTGGTTGGCAGAGTTTTACTGTGATAACAGAGGGTACAACTTATGGTGAATGACACTAATGGTATTTCCGGTGCTGTTGTGGCAAATAAGGGCAGTTCTTATCACTGTTAATTAATCAGATTATACTTATCAATTCAACTAAATGAATATGTACTGCTGCATTTAAAATATAAAAGTTTCACATAAATAAATATTGTCTACTTTATCATTATGCAAACCAAGATTTAAACAGGTTTATGTTCATCAATAGATAGCGTGCGGCAGTTTCCAGATTCCCTCACATTTAATTTACTGCAGTATGCCGAGCAATTCTGTACGGTGTGAGGGACACCAGAGACTAAATTATAGTCAGTAACTGCCCACCAGCTATCATTAACAAATAGTTCAAACCTAAATATTTTATAACACCATGGAATTTTTTTNATTAAGATTGTCACAAATTAAAAACAGAAAACTCTTCTGTGATCAGTAAGCTTCCTTTAATGAAGGAATCCTGCTTGGGTTTTAAGTTGTGTTTCCTTGCCATGAATGGGCTGGGCTACATCCATTTTTAAACAGGAGTTACCAGCACATATCAAGAGTCTGAGGACGTTTTCTTGCACTGATAAAATGTCACTGCTGACAGCTCATTCAGAAGAGATAATAAAACATCATATCTACTAAGCAAGATGGTTCCATATGTTTCTGGCAGTTTACAACAAAGCATTTGAATTGCCACTTCATTAATAGTCCAGTGAACCACTAACCACTGGCAGACTGACAGACGTTCATACTGTTAGATGGAAATATTAACCAATTCCTCTTGCAATCTCTTCTCTATTCTCTTTTAATCTATGTATAGAATAGAATTGTTCACAATCTACTCTGTGATGTTGTGTGATTCCATCGCTGAATGGTCATTGGTTACAGTGCCCTTGACATACTGTGTATTTGTCAATGTACATTAGTGATTTTAATGTATCTTGATTTATCTTGAAATTTGACCTGCCCCCATGTGCTTTGTGTTGGGCTATTTTCACTGATATTTCCTCCAGAGATTTATTTTTCTCAAAATACTACCCCCACCAGCAAACTGTTCCTCTCTGCATTCATTGGCATTCTTGACGGAACAGTGAGGTGGATTGGCTTATGGAAATACTGTAACCTAACGACACGCATTCAGAATTCTCAAAATATTATTTAAAATGTGGCCACATGCTCATTAGTCTTATCAGTTTATCACACGTGAAATTTTGTGTACGTGTAACAGTGCACACTCCCCTTCATAAATTTAACATATGATATTTTAACCCTGCAATATACACCATGGAAAGATGGAAAGATTCCCAGTGCTGCTTAAGGAAACGCTCATCCTTCTACATTTTGGACCAATTTCAGCTGCATGTTCCATGTACAAGTACTCTGCTAACCCAAACAGTCACAGATCCTATGTTCTCCTGCTTTTCTTTTCAAGAGGTTTATGATCCCTTCATTTTTCCGGCACTGCCAACAGCAATTTACATTTTATAATGTTTAGTAATGTGTAGCTTATTTCATGGTATCTACTATTGAATAACAACTCAGAATACTGCAATTCGTTACATATTACACATTATATCTTTGTATCCTATATTACTGTCACCGTTGTTATTATTTTGCCTCCATTACACTATCTATACCCAGGTCTGTGTACTTGCTATGTAACAGTTTAAGGAGAGTTAAAAAANTGTTTATACTGAAATGAACTATAAGCTATATTAGAAAAACAAGTACTGGCAATTGAAGACAGTAATTCAATCTTGAAGTTCTGCTGATGTTTATAAACCACAGCACAAATGTTATCCAAACCACTTGACTGAATTACTGTTTTGTAACTCACTGCAAAAACACCTATTATCC